GGGGGGGGGGACTGGATGTCACATACGTTCTCAGTGATCTTGGTGGCTCCTCCGTTGGCCAATATCCTGTTGGCAAAGCTAAGGGCAGAGCTGTAGTTCTTGCTCTTCACAGACAGATTCATTGCGTTAAGCAAAGCAAGCTGGCGATGGGGAACCTCGATCTTGGGAATGGTGAAGTAGGCCGCCAGTTCCAAGTTCCGCTTCTGGAGCGCGGGGTCCTGGCTCAGCTGGTCCGGGGAACCCAGTTGCCTGCGGGCTAGCTCGATAGACATGGCAACCGAGTACTCGCAAGCCGAAGCGATCAGCTTCTTGGCCTCGGCAACCTCACCATCACTGCCTACTGCGTTGACAAGAACGGAGTGCAGAATGCTCTTGAAGATCTTGACACCATTTTCGAGCTTATTCGCCCTCATGGCATCGTAGCCGCGCTGAAGGTCGTTGGAAGCAAGATACTCGAGGTCCCTGGGGATAATAGGGAGAACCTTCCTGGGATCTGTCTCCTCAGGGTTCCTGCGGACGTAGTTGACGAGAGGGTCTAGACCAGCCGCAGCAGGGAGGTAAGTCCTGGATGCCTGGTAGACCTCCAAGAAGCGAGGCTTGAGCGGCGCAAAGTTGACAGCGCCAACTTGGCGGTTGAGCAGCTGCATTGCCGACTCAAAGGAACCACCAGCGACGTGGTCAACTGCAAGCGGGGAATTTCGGGACCAAAGATCCGCTTCACTGCTTCCCGCACCGCCGGCATCCGCGCTCTCCACGTTGACAAAGCCCTCTTCGACTTCCGGAACAATGTCATCGCCCATGTCCCAGCCCGCAGCATCCTCATCCTCATCAGCTTCACCAAGAGCAGCGCCCTTCTTGGTCGCAAGCTCATCCGCACCACCCTCTTCAAGACCGAAGCCGTTGGAAGCGGCGGAGGGCTGGTCTTCGAGAGACAAACCCTCGACCTCGCCAAGCAGGGCCTTTTCGAAGAAGGACTGCGAGGCCGCCTTGGTCGGCCAGTTAGCCTTGTATGTGGGGACCACGGGCTTGGGCGGTGTTAGGGGTTCACCCAGGGTGGGCATCGAGAGCTGCTCTTCTGTAAGGCCAGTAGCCTCGAGGATTTCCTGGCACTCATCCTCGAGCCCGTGAGACTTGGCAGTCATGTAGGCCAAGGGGTACAGATCGATTTCCTTGAACATCTGGATGCGGTCCTGGACCTCTCCCAGGTAAAGGGCGTTCTGGAATCTTGAAGTGAAGTCACCACGGTGCTCAGCAATCTTGGCCATCCTCGAGAGCTTGTCGTGGTCGCCGGTTGTGAGATACAGGAACGACAGCTTGTCGAAGTGCTTGAGCTTCTGATAGCACATCTCGACGATCTGATGGTTGCCATGGGCGAGGGCCTCCTGGCTGAGTCTCGTCCACAGCTTGGGCTTGTCCAGTTCCTTGGCCATCTCAACCGCAACCTCGAGATTACCGCACTCAATAGCAAGCTCGAACCTGGTGGTAGGATCCTGGACGAACTGGAGCGCGATCTCGGGATAGCCCTTCTTCTGGAGGTAGGCAATGATAGACTGGCCAACCAAGCTCGAGTTCTGGATGATGTGCAGCATTTCCTCGTAGTTGCGCTTGACAAGCGCAAGCTTGAAGCGGTACTCGGTGGGATCAATCTGCAAAATCTTGGGCTTCGCAGCACGGTCGAGGCAGTAGACGTTCCTGCCCTTGACACGGGTAAGGTAAACAGTCTGGTCAAGGGTGCAAACGATGCCGTTATCGCCGTTCAGAAGCGTGTACTTGACATGGTTGAGAGTCGAGTACAGCAGAACACCAGCGTCGTCCCACGCAGCACTCTTGAGACGAATAGTTTCATGCAGAGTGCTGACCTGCTCCAGCGTCTTGGTCACAATTGTCACATTATGCTTGCTCAGCAGAGCAGCGTAGAGACCATCGTTAGACCAGACGACGTATTTCACGCCAGTCACAGCCAGCTCGGCAGTGCTCTTCCTCTGCTGGATATCGTAAAGGTGAACAGCGGTCGGGGTAATGATAAGGAGGTTGCCGGTGCCGCCGAAGTAGATATCGGTGGTGCCAACAGGGGGCTTGAACGATCTGGTGGTGTTGTTGGTCAAGTCCTTGATATCGACGGTCTGGGTGGCAGCATTGAGAACAGCGAAGCGGTTGCGAGCGACAAACACAGCCGAGTTGCCCTGGCCCCTCTTGGATTCGGTGGGCTCGATAGCTCCAGAGCCATCACGAGGAAGGGTAATCAGCTCGTACGAACCACCATCCGCCGGGGAGGTGACCAGGATGGACCTCTCAGCCGGGTTGTAGGAGAGTGTCCTTGGGGGTACCCAAGGGCTTCCGAGCTTCTTGAGCGACAAAAGTGTGGGCGACTCGGCATTCTTCTGGAAGTCGTACATCTTGACGTGCTTCTCCTTGGTGATGTAGAAAATGTTGTTCTGATAAACGGCAGAAGCAGGCCTCTCGCGCTCGAGCTTGAACACCATAACACCATTGTCGTGACCAGCAGCGAACAAGTTGATTTCCGGGTGCGCGGCGATAACCCAGATCCTGTCGTTCTCCCGCTTGAAGGTGTGGACTGCAGTACGCTTGTTAAGATCCCATACTCGAATAGTCTTGTCTTCGCCAGCCGAAAGGATAAGGTCCTGGTGGGGGTGGAAAAGACAGCCGCTGGCGTTCTGGAAATGGCCGCGGCAGGTATCGACTTCCCACTATTGTTGGATGATTCGGTCAGCAGGTTGATATCAGATGCACAATGTCCTGGAAGCACGTACAGCCTTGGTCTCGCTCATGCGCCACAACTTGATGAGACGGTCGTCACCGGCGGACACGATCAGGGGCATGGTGGGGTGGAAGGCAACCCAGTTCACGCCGCGGTCGTGGCCCTCGAGAACGAACTTGACAACGGCGTCGGTGTTGCCGAACATGTCAGTCTGGTTGGCATTGGCGCGGGCAACTTGGTCCTCGAAGGACATGGACGTGGGCGCGGAGTGCTTCTTGCGCAGGCCGGAGACTGTGATAACGCAATATGGTCAGCCATCCGTGCATCCCGTGGATATCCATCCCATCTTCTCGTCCAAGGCACCACGTACTATCCCAAACGCGAACAGTCTGATCGAGAGAGGCGGAAACGATGAGGTCTTCCTTGGGGTGGAACTGGGCGCACATGACGTAGTGGTTGTGGCCTGTCATTGTGCAGAGCAGAGAGCGGTTCTGCCAGTTCCATATCCGGATCGTCTGGTCGTCACTAGCACTGACAATCCAAGGGAGCTCGTGGTGGAAGAAGACGGTACGAATGTAGTCCAAGTGGCCGTTGAGGGTAAAGAGGCAGCGCCGAGTCTGAAGGGACCAGACCTTGATCTTGTAGTCGTCACCGCCGGAAACGAAGAGAGGCTGTAAGGATACGTGTAAGCTATCGTTGATATCTCGTGTTGGCGCATCGAGGCAACAGGAAGCTCACCTGTGTCTTGTGGAAGTCGACGCCTCTAACGGGCCATCGTGTTCTTCGAATCGATCAATCAGGGTACCCATGCGGTAATCCCATAGCTGAATGGTGGAGGAGTGGAGGGAGACGAGAATCCATGGTCTGGAGGCAAGGCCATGTTAGTTTCGCGTTGGTTTCTTGATAATTGTAGACGTCTAGGACGAAGTGGCGGGGGAGCTTGTGCTCTTTCGGGGGGACGGGGAGGCTGACCGTTTAGGGTGGAAGGCGATGCCCTTTGCTCGCGACGACTTGGACTCGAACTGCGCACAGGAGGAAGATGTTAGACAAGCTCAAGCTGAAAGCGCATAGAAAGTGGACGACGACGTACTTTGGTGAGCATTCCCGAGGGGGCCTGCATCTTGCCAGTGGCTTTAAGGGGAGCACAGCCTAAGCTCCGGGCATCAACGTGGGAAAGGTGGATTAAGTATTTAAGGGAAGAGGGGATGAATTAAGACGCGATCAGCCGTGAAATCGCAAAATAGTATACTGTAGATGGAGGAGGGGTGTGGCGGCGTGGTTGTTTGGGCGTGGGAGGGATTGGGAATGGAGCCAAGTGGAAAGTGTCAAAGGTAGAGTGTACAAGTGCTCCGTGTCGTCGAAAGGTGGTCCACGATGCCACTCATCAATGGAGAGCTGGAGACGGTCTCAGGCGGCGGCTTCAATTCCACTTGCACTTGATAGGGAAGCGTGGCATCTCACACCTCGGGCATTCAGTGTGGGCGGGCGCTGCAGCTGCCACTCACACAGCACCTGCCCACTGCAGTCGGAGCCTTCAGTTGTAGACACGACTGGCGTGGCCTCGGAACTAACTTGTGCACCGCCACGTTATAAACACACAGGATCCGCAATTCAGGGGCTACTTGATGCGCAAGCCTCATTTCCTATGTAAGGGGCTCAAGTCAAGGGTCTCACCAGCCACAGTCAACGTGTGAACCTTAGCGGCCACCTGTACAGCTTCCCCCCCAAGACGCTAGACCGAACTGGGAGAGCTGTGTTGTTTCACTCTCACTACAACAGCGAGGTGTTCATTGACCTTCCCGTCAACCTCACAGCTTCACTGTCATAACACGACCCAGCTTGTGAAGCTATTCCCAAATCTTACAACTCGATATACCTGGTAATTTCACAGATTACCGAGGTCTTGAGGACACGCCAGTGTCATTTTGTTTGAATCATCCTTTGAGTATATCGGTGACATCACAAGCTGTTTCTTTTGCTTACTTGTCCCCTTTTGTTCCGCTCTCTCTCTACAACACCAACACCAAAATCGAGCTGTGCCGTTTGACGTTGGTAACATCCAACGTGGCACCTCTTCTCATCCCACCCATGATTGAGACTTGAACAGGCAGCCCTATAATCGCCCATTATCTTACAATTCACATTCGTCACCTCACCACCACAAAACTGCTGCCTGGTCCGGACAACCATGATCCGTCTCTCCCAGCTGCCGTGGGGCCTCGCGGCAGCCATTGTCACAGCTACATGGCTTCCCTCAAACCACGTTGCAGCTTCTCCCTCTGTAGACGTCGCCCTCAAGGCCGCGTTTCCTTCACCTCCCTATCTGGTAGAGCTCCTGTGAGTTCCCCTGACGTTCCCCTCCCATCCGTACTGGACAAGTCTCACATCCGCATCCAGCGAAACCGCAGCTTCCGAGAATGCGACTGCTTATTTCCCCTTGCTGAACCGCATTGCCAAGGGTGACTTTGCCCAGGCCAAGTCCGACCAAGAGCTCTATGAAAAGTTCCTCGAGGTTCTTCAACAAGATGGACATGTGAACCATGAGGCGCTGTCGACCTTCAAGTTGGCTCTTTCACTGCGATCCGCTGCTCCCCGTGTCGAGGCCCATTATCAGTACTATACTACTGATGTGGAGCCATCTGTAGTGGCCGATCAGGATGGATGTGATCTTTGGTTTCTCTACAACGGGAAGCAATACTGCAAGGCCAGCCTGGAAGCTTCACATGGCGATGTTGACAGCAACTCTCAAGAGCGTACCTTGCCGTTTGACAGAAAGTTTGGTAGCGGACCTCAGGAAATCGTGCTTTATGCCGACATCACCTCCCCCGCTTTTGGGAAATATCATGAGACTTCCATGGAACTTGCCAGAAAGGGAGAAGCTTCGTATCGGCTGCGTTACAAGAGAAGCCTGGCGCAATCGGATGACGCGCTCTCTGTCAACGGATACGGCGTTGAGCTTACACTGAAGAGGACAGACTACATTGTCATCGATGACAGGAATACTGGTGCTGACAAGGCAACCGGGGATGACTCCCAAAAGACCATCAAATCTGATTCCGAACTTGTCCTGGACGAAGACGAAGAGGTTGCAGATATCAAGCCCCTGGAGAAGTCTGAGCTTTCACCCCTTGCGGTCAAGGCAGCATCGTTCGTTATGCAAAGCGACTCACCCTTCGATACCTTGCTCAAACTTACGCAGGACTTCCCCAAGTACTCGACCAAGCTTGGAAAACATAACGTGTCCAAGGAGTTTTTGGCCGAACACGAGTACAACAGGCAACTGCTGGTGGCATCAGGTGCCAACGTCCTATGGATGAACGGTGTCCAGTTGGTCGACAGACAGGTTCAGCCTTTTGGGCTTGTAGACATGCTTCGCCGGGAACGTAAGCTCATCAACGGTGCCCTGGACCTGGGGCTGACTGGCCAGCAAGCCCTTTCCCTTCTGGGTCATGACGAGGTTGCCGCCGCAAAGGCCACCGAAGAGGAGCCTCGCAGGTTCGACTGGCGGGACGAGTCCGAGGGAGGTCAGGTCATCATCTGGCTGAACAACATTGAAAAGGACAAGCGTTACGCCGAGTATGCTCCTAGCGTCTGGGCTTTGATTCAGCATTACGGACAAGGATTGCCTCAAGTTCGCAAAGACCTGTTCAACCTTGTTGTTCCTGTGGACTTCACCAAGGCCGATCATGTTACGCTGGTCACCAGGCAGCTCCTTGCTTTCATGAAGCGAGGCATTCCCGTCCGGTTTGGCCTTGTTCCCCTGACTCCCACAGGTGAGGCCATTGAACAGGCCAAGGTCCTGTACCATCTTCTTAACACGTATGGCCTGGCTGCTATGTCGACCTACCTGGAAAAGTCTCTCGAGGCCTCTAGTACTGATAAGCCAAATGTGGACATCTTCAACCTTGCCATCAAGGATCGTGAGGTTCGGCCAGAGCATGAGACGCTAGCATTCAAGGACATCTTTACCTCTGGGGATTTGGAGAAACAAGTCCATCGCGCTAAGCACTGGTGCGAGCGTCTCAGGGCCGATACTGAAATTCCTCCTGCCTTCATCAACGGCTTTGCCATCCCCCGCGAGGAGGATTGGCTTCGGAACATGAACCACAAGCTCATGGTAGACCTCCAAGTGTTGCAACAGGCGGTTTACTATAACAAGGTCAATGATCACACCGATGTCCCTGGCTTCTTCCTGGAGAACGCCATTGCTCGGCGCAACACGTTCATCTCCCCCGAAGATCCCAACGCCATCAAGGTACTCAACGTCAACAAGGTGTATAGCGAGCACCAACGTCTGTTCAGCAAGGTGCCTGTAATTGAAGCCGACGACAGCGCCCCCAAGGAAGACTGGGCAGTGCTCACAATTGTCACGGACCTTGATAGCGTTGAGGGTCAGAAACTCCTTTACTTTGCCCTGCGCTTCCGCCAGGAACATCAGGGAGTTCGGCTTGATATCATTCATAACCCGGCTGACCTGACTAACTCGCCTTCTGTTATGAGCCAGCGCCTCAAGACCAAGGAGGGAAGTCTCTTGGAGGTTACCCGCCTTGTCGAGCTTGAAACCATCCTCGAGGAGGGCAAGCCTGAGGCGGACCAAGAATTTGACGCCGACCTTGCCATCTTCCTCTCCGGCTTCGATTTGAAGTCCGGTGACAACATGCTTATTCTCAATGGCCGTATCGTTGGTCCTATCGCATCCGCAAACGACTTTGTCAAGGAGGACTTTGCCGAGTTCCTTAAAACGGAACGTGCGAACCGCATTCTTCCGGTTTACAAGGCAATTGAGGATCTTGGACTGGGTGATAAAGTCTCTGGACCCTTGGCTGCTGCCAAGCTGACCTCGGTCACTGCTCTCTCGGGCATCCCAGACACCCCTCAGGGTATCTTTGATTCTGCCACGCCCATCAGAACAACAGCTTACAACCGATGGAACACCACGTACACCTCCTTCGAGGTCGGCAATCCCGAGACGGCCTCCATCTTCTTTGTCGCGGCCATCAACCCTGCTAGTCAGATGGGCCAGAAATGGGCTCCCATCCTCAAAGTTCTCTCGGAACTCGAGGGTGTTAATCTGCAAGTGTTCGTCAATCCGGAGACTGAACTGTCCGAGCTCCCCGTCAAGAGATTCTACCGTTACGTCCTAGAGTCTGCTCCCAGCTTCGACGAGAGCGGCAAGGTAAAGGCTCTGTCAGCAACCTTCAACGGAGTACCGCCCGAGACACTCCTCGTCGCCGGCATGGATGTCCCGCCAGCTTGGCTCGTCACCTCCAAGGTATCCGTCGACGATCTGGACAACCTTCGCCTTAAGGACATCAAAGCCAAGAGAAACACGGAGCACGTAGAGGCCATCTACGAGCTAGAGAACATTCTCATCGAGGGCCACTCCCGCGAATTCCCCGCCGGCTCGCCTCCGCGCGGCGTGCAGCTCGTCCTAGCGACCGAGAAAGACCCCCACTTCGCCGACACCATCATCATGGCCAACCTCGGCTTCTTCCAGTTCAAGGCCAACCCGGGCATCTACAACATCCACCTCAAGGAGGGTCGCAGCTCCGACATCTTCACTCTCGACAGCGTCGGCGCTCAGGGGTGGTCGCCCGTCCCCGGCGACGAGACCACCGAGGTGGCCTTGCTCTCCTTCCAGGGCGCCACGCTCTACCCGCGCCTGACTCGCAAGCCAGGCATGGAGCGCGAAGACGTTCTCCAAGACGAGTCCAACAGCCAAAAAGACGAATCATTGGTGTCCAAGGGCCTCAAATTCGCCGAAGGCCTCTTTGTGGCAATAAAAAGCCCGCGACCGACAAATCCGTCTCCGAGACGGCACAACACGCAGAAATCAACATCTTCTCCGTCGCCTCCGGCCATCTCTACGAGCGTATGCTCTCCATCATGATCCTGTCCGTCATGAAACACACCACACACACGGTCAAATTCTGGTTCATCGAGCAGTTCCTCTCCCCCTCGTTTAAATCCTTCCTCCCCTTCCTCGCCGCCGAGTACGGCTTCCAGTACGAGATGGTAGCCTACAAATGGCCGCACTGGCTGCGGCACCAATCCGAGAAGCAGCGCGAGATCTGGGGCTACAAGATTCTCTTTCTGGACGTCCTGTTCCCTTTGTCCTTGGAAAAAGTCATCTTCGTCGACGCGGACCAGATCGTGCGCACGGACATGTACGACCTCGTCCAGCTGGACCTCGAGGGCGCGCCGTACGGGTTCACGCCCATGTGCGACTCGCGCACGGAGATGGAGGGGTTCCGCTTCTGGAAGACCGGGTACTGGGCTACGTATCTTCGGGGCCAGCCGTACCATATTTCTGCGCTGTACGTGGTCGACCTCCGTCGCTTCCGCGAGCTGGCGGCGGGTGATCGCCTTAGACAGCAGTATCATACCTTGTCTGCTGACCCCAATAGTCTGGCGAATCTGGACCAGGATCTGCCGAATCATATGCAGTTCCAGATCCCAATCAAGAGCCTCCCGCAAGAGTGGCTGTGGTGCGAGACCTGGTGCAACGATGAGACGCTGGGTAAGGCGAGGACGATCGATTTGTGTAATAATCCGCAGACGAAGGAGCCGAAGCTGGATAGGGCGCGGAGACAGGTGCCGGAGTGGACAGTTTATGATGAGGAGGTTGCGGGCTTGGCGAAGAAGGTTAGGGAGGAGCAGGAGAAGTTGGAGCAAGTTGTGGAGTTGAAGAAGAAGGTCGAGGAGAAGAACGCCGAGGACAAGGCCGAGAAGGAGCATGTGATTGATGAGTTGTAGATTTGTATGGACGTGGGTGTACATGGGTCAGTGGTTGGTGCTGTTAGTGCAGGACGAGTCTCTTGTAAATAGGCCGCAATCCAACCCGTTTTTTCCTGGAGTCAGCTCCAAATCATTCAGGATCTAAGATTACGCTGTACTGACAACAGACGCCGTTGGGTTCGGTAACGGCCCCAGCAGGTGTTGAAAGGATGCATGAAAAAGCGCCCGAGCACAAGTTACTAATGAATCAAGCATAATGATTGTTGTCAAAAGTCTAGTGATATGTATGTCTGCAATCCTCCGATAACACGCCCGAAACACCAAAACACCGTCGCTACATGATGTTGGTCTCAACTCAAATCGAGACACTCAACTCCGACCGCCGCGTGGACATCTCTTCCCCTCCTACCCATCATTCCCAACACTCCCCCAACAAATAAATAAAAACACGAAAACCACCCGCTCAATGAGAAATATACTGAAACACAGCACTAACATCCCTCTCCCCCACCTCCTGCCTCAACAAATGATCATGAATACCCTTCAACCCACCACTGCCACCATTCGGATCCTTTCCATTCTTGCTTCCCTCGCCCTCATAATGATTAACAAAGTGATTCCACGTGCTGGTATCACCATACAACATCGCCTGCGCCTTGATATACTGTCTCCCGTCCGGCTTGCACCGCTTACACTTGAACGTGTCATGGGTATCGCTCTTGGTGCCCCCACGATAAGTAAACAGTTCCCTTAGCGAGTCGAGCGAGAAGTGGCGCTCCACATCCTCGGCGCTGTCGACGACGCACGATGACAGGGATTGCTTGTGACTCTGTCTCTGGAATATTTTCTCTTCGATGGTGCCCGTGGCGATGAAGCGGTAGACGAAACAATCCTTCTTCTGGCCGTCGCGCCACACGCGCGCCAAAGCCTGCTGATCGGCGGCCGGGTTCCAGTCCGGGTCGAAGAGGACAAGTCGGTTGGCGCCGATCAGGTTGAGGCCGCACCCGCCGGCTTTGGAGGAGAGCAGAAATACGAATTCCTCGCCTTCGGGATCGTTGAACTTGTCGACGAGCTTTTGGCGCTTGTTGACGTTCATGGTGCCGTCGAGACGCAGACAGCCGTATTGCCGGTTGCGGCAGAGACGCTCGAACAGGTCCAAGGTCTGGGTGTAGTTGCTAATGAGCACGATCTTGTCGTTGGTGTCGGCACGGATGCGGGCCAGCATGCGGTCCAGCACTTGCATCTTGCCGGAGTACCAGGGCTTGACATCACGGTCGCGACCGCGCGCTTCCTTGGGTACGTAGTCGTCTGGCCAGTACTGCTCGCAGCCGGGCAGATCGGCCGACAGATCGAGCAAGTCGGGATGGTTGCAAAGCTTTTTGAGCATGTTGATGGCCTTGAGAGGTTGAGAGCCCTTGCCGCGCAGGAGAGCTTGGATGTCGGGAGAGGCGACAAAGTAGTTGTACAAGTCGAGCTGGAAGGGAGCGAGGTTGCAGAACACAACGTGCTCGTACTTCACCGGGAGGTACTTGGAGAGAATGTCGTTGGTGCGGCGAATGATGAACTTGTTGACGACGGCAAGAAGTTCAGCCAGGCACTCGTCACCACGCTTCCGCTCAGCTTCCGAGGCATCGGCATCGCGGCCGCGCAAAATCGGAATTTCGAACCGTTTGCGGAACTCGAGACGAGTACCGAGTAGATCCGGGTTAGCAAAGCTGATCAGAGCAAAGTACTCCGACAGGTCGTTCTGAATGGGTGTACCAGACAGAATCACCCTCCTCGACACGTTCAGGCTGTTCAAAGCACTGAACGTCTGACTGTCTCCGTTCTTCAACCGATGACCCTCGTCGCAAAGCATCAGCCCGATGGGAGTCCCCTTAAGCTCGTCCGCATTAAGCCTCAGCGTCTCGTACGAGACAATAATCACCGGCCTCGTCACCGACCGTCCACTCGCAATCGCCCACTGCCTCAGCTGCCTGGTCAACTCCTCCTTCGACGCCTTTCCATCAATGGCAAAAGGCGTGATCGCGTCCGCGCCCAACCACTTGACCAGCTCATTCGCCCAATTCCTGACCAAACTGCTCGGACACGCCACAATCGCCTTCTGGATCGTCGACTTCCCCGCGTCCGGCGACTGCTTCAACAGCGTCCACAGCAGCGTGATGCACTGCAGCGTCTTTCCCAGACCCATCTCGTCGGCCATGATGCACCCGTTGGCCTTCTCGTCGATCATGCCCGTTACGCACCGGTACATGAACCGCACGCCCTCGATCTGATGCGGTCGCAGAACCTTGGCCAGGCGGGGATCGATCACTACCGGAACGCGCGGGTGTTCGCCCTCGACCTTTTTCTTGATGCCCAGAATCTCCGCCAGACTCTTATGCACCAGCGGCGCGTCGACCTTCACTTCTGGTTCTTTCTGCTTCTCTTCAATGGCTTTCGGCTCCTTAGGCTTATCGTCCACCGTCGGATCGTACAACACAATAGCGAGGTCGTCGCAGGGGTCATGTAGCGGCTTGGCCACAAATACGGCGCCCTGCCTCAGGCCCAGCGTAGGCGGCGGTCGGTTGGGGTTGTAAGCGGTCGTGTTCTTGTTGATGAGGGGCACGGAAAAGGCTTTTCGGAAAACCTGGCTCTTGTCTTTTGGCTGGAACACGGGGAACTTGTTCGCGTCGCGGTTGGCGAGGGCGAGCCGGTCCGCGTTGGTGTACGGCTTGTCCGCGCCGTCTTCGTCGTCATTGTCGCCGCCGGCGCCTTTATAGTCGATCTTTCTGCGCTTTCGGGCCGGCCGGTCGACGGCTACGGTGCGGTTCGCGGAGCCGGGGCATTTGAAGGGCTTGGTGAGTTTGTCGAGGGATTGAGGCGTGGGGAACTTGCCGCGTTGGGTGAGAGCCGGGTTGGAGTTGTCCTTGGAGGCGGGCTTGGGCGTTGAGACCATAGATGCTGTCCTGTTGGGTTTCAATGGGTGTTAATAGGTATTTATTGAGAGTGGTTGTGATGTTGGTGATCAATGGGAATGCGTTGGGAATTTTGGAGGTCTACTCACATCTTCGCTGTACAGTAGGGAACGAGCCCTTTCACAGCGGCCTTGGTAGCTCCTAGGACGGGAACAGCGTTTGGTCTTTTTTTCTCCCAGGCTCGTCACTCCAGATAACGTCAACCGAAGGAATGTCTGGAAGCGAATGAGCGGGGAAGAAGAAAAAATAACGGTGTCGCAAAAGAGGAAGCAGCGAGCTCCAGGAAGGAAGAGGGCGATTGGCACTTGCTTACACAGCAATGTTGACTAAACAGACGCGTAGAAAAAGGTGGGGGCGAATCGCGCCTTCCTCACACGATGTCAGATGATCTTGCCAAGACCTGCTGCCTTTGCAGTGTGGGCCGTATTCCTAGCCCCTATTACCTGACTCCACTTATGTATAAATCACGGCTCCTAATTGGTCACAGGCTGCAATCACCAACAAAGCCGTCGATAAAGGCATTCGCACATTCACACATTGACAGGATATGATCTGGATAAGCACTCGTCAGAAGGTATTAAAGATGTATTATCAAGTCCGTAAATACCCTAGAAAGTAACGATAGACAGAAGTTGCCGTGCATGCATGCTCGCTTGCTCA